CTGCCCTCCTCTTCCTCTTCTCAAACCCTCCTCCAGACCTTTTCCACTCAACCTTACTTACTCTTTGTCAGGAGGGAGAGAATGAGCCCTCAGACACTGTCCCTTAACCTCATTCCTTGAGGCCACTGTGGCCTGTGGCCAGAGATCCTCTTCCCTTGGGTGCCCCCTCTACTTTAAGCCTTAGCCTGAAGTGCGCCACCAAAAGGCCTTTATTTCAATGCAGCTACAAGAAACACTCATTCTTTTGGCCTCAATTGATCCCTGGATCCAAAACAAGCTGAAAAACAAGGTTCTCTTAATATATGAGGCACCTAAGACCAACGAGAACGTAGAGCCTACAAGGTTCCGGAAAAAGCCTGAGAACCCAGAAGAGTTAAATATCCAAGACTTTCGACTTGCACAGCTGAACCCTTTGTTTATTGCAAAGTCAATTGCCGCATCAAACCAAGAGAAAAAGTTGAGTGACCAGAAAGGGTTTGCCTACTACCTCAACTCTGCCTTCCCACCCTGTTTCTCTAAACCACAAAAACACAATTCACAGGCCACAGGGCCCTGGGTGCCAGAGATCAGGAAACAGCTACAGATCCTTGCCAAAACCTCCAAATAGGTGTTCTTTGGGCCTAGCCCCACTCAGTCCCTTAGGATGCTTCTCAGGCTCCTCTGAGAGAACAATCTCTGCTTATTTTCCATTAATAAATATCACTCTACCAACCACTGCAGTTCCTTTCATCAGAGGCTGCACTGAAACACAGCCTTTGTTGAGTGTTCCTTCCACACAGCCACATGTCCTTTTCATGAGGGGAGAGAGAGAAGGACAGAACCAAATCTGCTCTGAAGAGTCAACCTGCCTCCCTAAATCAAGCCCTTGTCCATGCCCAGAATTTAACAACAAAGCTAGAGTTGAGCCTCTGCCGGGGAAGGGGTGGGGTGCTGAAGGGAAAATAGGAGAAAAACTGAAAAGCTTGACTCAGGCCATTTCCTCCTACTCGCCTAACTGCCCCCCCTCCCAGTCCCCACTAGCTCCAACCGGTAGTCAGTAAATAATTAGGCTATAGTCAAGACCAACCACCCTCTCTGCTGTCTCTTCTCCTACACCTGCTTTCTACCTAGCGTGGGGCCATACCCTTTGACAGACCCTATTTATTCTCCTCAACAGCCTTAGTTTCTCCCTGCTGTTTACTGAAGGTTACAGTTTCCCTTTGCCAGTAAGACCTGCCACACCAATCCCAACAAGCTATGTCCTCCATCAAGGGAAAAAAAAAAGCCCAGACTTTGGAGTCAGACAATCTGAAATCTAATCCTAAAATCGATCACTTACTTGATCTTTGACTTTGGACAAGTTACTTAACCTTTCTGACAGTTACTCACCTACAAAATAAAGAGAATAACATACTATTTCAGAAAAGTCTTATGAGGATTAAACAATAATATAAAGCCTAACAGTGCCTGGCATAACAGTCAACACTCAAATGTGAACTTTTCTCTTTTCTTCCTCTTTTCATTGTTGTCATGTGAGCCTGTGACAACCAGAGGTTAAAAAAATCCTGCTACCCCTATCTATGTCCCAAGTCTTATTGGAGTGACCTAATGAGAGGTCAGGTTCTTCCCAAGCAAAAGACAGATCAAAGTAAAATAGATGCTCCCTTCCACTTCCTCGCACTCCAGATTCTAGAGTAGTCCGAACAGTTATTCTGAATCCAGCATGGTGTGTCACTCAGATTTATCTCCCCACTCGCCCCACCACTTCCAGATTCATGTTTTGCCTCACAGACTTGTAAGAAAAACAAAACGAGTAGTTTCCCTATTCTGGAGGATAAGCAACACTGCCTGTAACAGCATGGCACAAAGAGCAAAGACAGGAAAAATGATCTTCCTCTCTTGCCCACTCTGCACCTTAGGGCCAATAAGCGATACAACCCAAATTTCCCCGAGCCTTAACAGCCCATGAATACAAAGCAGGCCTTATTAACTACTTAATTCTGACTCTCAACTCCTGTAAAATCCTGCCCACAGATCTCCAACCCATCTTCCTCCATACCTCTGGGTCCCTCCCAGAGGATGTCTTATTACTTGGCTGGATACCAGTCTCTGCTCAGAAGCACCTCAATCCTAATTTCACCAATCCTCACCTGAAGATTTAAGACATCACTGAGCATAAATGTCTTCACAGAACACTCACCATCTAGTACTCCACGGGTATACTACTAGAGCCTTCCCAGTACTAAGGCTACCTAGATCCAATGCTCTTAGAAACATGCTTAATCCAAGCTGTGGCTAGCTTCTCTTAAAGGCCTGAAACGCCCACTCCTCTCAGCCACCAGGATCTGCTGGGAATGATCTTTGGACACTATCTAAAATATAAATTCCCCGCTTCTCTCTCCTTTCTAATGGAGTCTTTTCCCCTCTGATGGGGAAAAAGAAAAAGAAACCTCTACACCCTCGACCTCTTCTCAAACATTCTCCTCCATCTATGCTGTAACTGAAATCTGGCTCTCTTGAACAGGCCTCTTCCTGAAATCTCAGGTGTGCTCTTCCACCTACATTCCTTTCCAACGTCACCACTGTCCTGCACCTTCATTAACAAATCATTGTTTCTCTGAGGGTCTTGGCTCTCCAACCAGCTACATCATCCTTCTGGTTCACTTCCCTATTTTCTCTCATTCACTGCCTAAACTTTAGTCTTATCACCCTGATGGTATCCCTTTGGACAACTATCCAACACCCAACTCCTCAGACCTTGATCTCAACTAAAAGACTTTTCCCTTCCATTCTCTTCAGCTACCCAATTCCCTAGCCACACCTAGCCCTTGTCACCCCTAGGAATTGCTTCATTTCCAAAATCTTGAACATATACTTTCTGACCCAAATCATCTATCCTTTTTTATCCCTACCAGTTTTTTTTTAATCTCATCAATAACATTAAGTTCTTGACTTCCCTATATTCTTCCTGTTAGCTGCCTCTTATTTTTTTTCTTCCTACTCAGCCTGGACTCCATCCATCAGCCACTATCCTCACTAGTCTCATACCTAATCCTGAATCAAACTGCCTGTCCCTATAACCAGGCTGCTGATTAAAGCTGGAGAAAAAGCACACATCCACAGACTGGTACCCCAAATTACTTGCCTCCTCCCTTAACTGAGCCCTTATTGTCTGGCAATTTTATGGATTCCTAGCCACAATACTTTCCCACTTCCTACAATGGTTATTTCAAGCCTTCTCTGCTATCCTCGTATTTCCTAAAGTATCTTCAAACTTTCTATCATACTACTTCCCCAACTCTCAATAGACCATTATACTTTCTCCTAAGGGAAAAAAAAGGTATCAGGGAATTCCCTCAACTTCCTACCCCCTCTGCTATGTGATGTAAGAGATAAGATCTTGAGCAAGTTGTCCAACTTCTCAGTGCCTCTGTTCCTCACTGTAGCCTCTGGAAAGTCCCTTCCTGGTGGCAATCAGAATCATTTATACCATTCACCTCTTCCGTGAAACATTCTCTGTACCACTTTGCCTGATGGTATGGTTGTGAGAATTAAGAGTTAACACATATAGACATAAATTGCTATAACAGTGCCTGGCACACACTAAGCTTCGAATAAATGATAGTCATTTGTTACTGTTAACGTCTGCACCTATCCTTACCCTCCAATTACGATACAATGCAAGAAGCATTCTCCTCTTCTAAGGCAAATCTTCCAAGAGTGTTTTGGATGCCATTCCTTCATGGAATTTGAGTATCAATTATCCCCATTACAAATAGTACAGAAACATGCTTAATTCTCACCCATCTTAAAAAATAACCTCCCACAAACCCATATCCCTGTCTACATGCCCCTCTACTTACCTCACTCCACCTCTAACAACCCTTCATAATCAAGATTCTTAAATAATTGTCCATATTACCTGTCTCCACTTCTCCAATTTCTACTATTATCCTACTTCAGTTTGGGTTCAGAATTCAATTCTCTACCAAAACTGTTTTTGCCAAGGCAGTAGTTCTCAACAGGGGCGATTTTGCCCCCCAGAGGGCATTTGACAACATCAAGAAACATTTTTGATTGTCACAACTTGGGGCTGCTACTGGTGGTGTCTCATGGTAGAGGCTAGGGATGCTGCTAAACATCCTACAGTGCACAGAGCAGCCACCCACAACAAAGAATTATCCAAACCAAAATAGTAGTACCAGGATTGAGAAATCCTGTGCTGAGATAATGTACAAACTCCATATTGCTAAATATAATTGCTATCCTATGACTTGGCCTGGCTGGAGCACTTGACATTATTAGCTTCTCCTTCTTGAAATCCACTCTTCCCTTGGGTTCCACCACCACCTTACTGGTCATTCCCAGTCTGTTTCAGGATCTTCTTCTGTTATCTTTTAAATATCAGTATTTCTCAAGGTTCTGTCCTAGGCTCTTCTCTCTCTACATACTGTCTCCCAAACCATTAGAATGAACTGGGGCCCTTTTTAAAATTCCCAGGTCTCACTCAGTTCATTGTTTTGGAGCCCAGTCATCTTTATATTTTAAAAAACTTAATTCTAGTATTTAGCTAGGATACTCTCATCACTTTACTATTTATATATTAATGACTCTCGAATCTGTATCTGTAATAAATTCATTCAGTCAATATTCATTGATTACTCTGTGCCTGTTACTGTTCTAGCCACTGGGGTAGAACAGTGAACAGATAAGGTTCCCTACTCTTCTGCAGCTCATACTCTAATGGAGAGAGAAATTAACCAACACAAAAAGATCACTTCAGTGATAAGTACTGTGAAGACATTAAAAGAGGTTATATGAGAGTGACTAAGAAGAGGCAGTATTTTAGATATAAAAGCCAAGAAAGACCTGGGAGAAAGGGTGGGAGGGAAGACTATGATCCTCCATTGTAGTAAAAAGAAGTCAGCCATGTGACTGAGGAATCCCTAGACAAAGCATATACAGAAATACTGAAGCAGAACCATATTTGGTACCCTCAAAAATGATGTCCAATGTGGTTAAAGCAAGGTAAGTATGAATGTTATGTAATGAAGTTGGAGAGGTAGACAGGCCAGATCCTATGGAGCATCAGTCCCTAACCCTTTTGGCACCAGAGACTGGTGCTCCTATGAGAATCTAATGCCTAATGATCTGAGGTAGAGCTGAGGCAGTGATACTAGTGCTGGAGAGCAGCTACAAACACAGATGTAGCTTCGCTTGCTAGCCCATCATTCACCTCTTGCAGTGCAGCCTGGTTCCTAACAGACCATGGACCAGTGCCGATCTGCAGCCCAGGGGTTGGGGAGCCCTGCTATAGGGCTTTGTAAGTCAGGATCAGGAATTTAAAGCCTACATACAAGAGAAGTCAAGTTGTATGTCACTGAAAGAGTTTTAAAGAGGGATGACATATCATCTGATTAACATCTTTATGATATCATTTGACTGCTGTATGAAAAATAGATTTTAGAGGGGCAAGATTGTGTAGGAACATCTATTAATGGGCTGTTGCAATTATCCAGGACAGAGATGACTGCTGATTTGTACCATGATTGTAACCAAGAATATAAAGATGGTTTCAGAATATATATTGGAGACAAAAGGACCTGCAGGTATGGGATGAATAAAAGA